TGAACCAGTTTCTGTCTGAGCGTGTTGCTGGGTCTGAAATACACCGGGATGTCGTGCTTGGAGAAGACTCCTGAGTTTTTCTGATACACTGGCTACATAGGGGATGACAATGTTGTTGTGTTTGTCTTTCCTATCCTCCCTCGCTGGTTTCTGATCTTTTTTTCTGTGCATCTTTGCTGACTTAATGAAAGCCCAATTGGGATAACCACATGTTTTAAGAGTTTCCTTTCGTGTATCAATACTCCTTTTTTTCCCCTTCAGGCTTAGAGGGAAAAATGTTCTGCCCGGTGGTGTAGGGTCCTGATTACTCCAAGTTTGTGTTCCAGAGGGTGATGGGAGTCAAAGAGGAGGTTCTGGTCTGTGTGTATGGGCTTCCTATAAAGTTCAATGTTGAGGTTTCCATTCCCTTCAATGCGCACGGTACAGTCCAGGACAGCCTTAACTGCTCTTCGGCTTTGCCATTGCTTTGGGGATATTTTGTGATTCTCATGATGTGGCAAAAGCCATACAACTTTGCAAATGTCTCAAAAGCGGCCCCTGAAAACTGTGGCCCATTATCTGTTACCAGCTGCTCTGGGATCCCGTGATGTGCACAAATCCCCTTGGGATGATGGATTGCATCCTCTGACTTTCAAGGTGTGAGAAGGGCAATCTCAACAAATCTTGAGGCATAATCCACAAGAAGGTAGGTTTTCTTTCTTTGCATAAACAGATCAGCTCCTAGCTTTTGCCATGGCCGCCCCGGATACTGTGATTATATCAGTGGTTCAGTGCGGTTTTGTCTCTCTTGGCAACATGTCCGACAGTTAAGGACAAGCTCGTTTAACTGCTGGCTTAGCCCTGGCCACCAAACCGACTGTCGTGTCCGCTCTCTACACTTAACTATTCTCTGGTGACCTTCATGTAGCCTGGTGAGCACATAATTTCTCATTGCTGCAGGTATAACCAACCTGTCCCCTCTGAGCAGCAGACCGTCATATACAGGGAGGAATGCCCGTTCTGCCCAGTCTTAGCGCTGGTTTGCTGTGGAAATGTGTGGGCCATCCTTCCTCACACAGCTGCATCACGCGAGCACATGCGCTGTCTCTCCTTAGCTTTTCCCTCAGCTGCTCCAAGAAATTGTTGCTTAGTGGTAGATTGTCCATTATCATATCCACGCAAATATTGCTCTCTGTGCTCTCCAAGAGTTCCTTGTCTTGAGATGTTTCTTTTGGCTTCACTGGAGATCGTGAGAGCGTGTCAGCTGTCCACAAGTGCATGCGAAATTGAGTATCGCATGAGGCGCATCCTAA